TAGGAGACAAGTTTTGTGCAGATACTGGTGTTCCCTTGAACCTGGGTTCAGTCAGATGAGTTAATGACTTCAGAAAATTTTGACCAATCATGACATTGTGTTTGAGCTAAAACATTAGTCTGACAGCATCTGGAGAGAACAATGTTGAGTTTATTGACTTTTCAAACTTTTTGCTTGTTTTAAGAAATACTCTGCACTTCATCCCCCTCTTGCTTAAACACTACTCCATCTGTCTGTTAAATCCTCAAGCTTTTTTCATCTTCCTGCAATGCAATTCCTACCAGTTTTATCATCACCACTTCAGTCACTGCATCCAAATCAGTTAAATTAATAGCTTGGGTGCAAAGTGATTGCTGCTGCCATAGCCTGGCTCCTGAGTGGCTTCAACTCTGCATTCTATCCAACAAATTCTGATCTAGTCAGACTTGCTGAATTTCAACTGTTTACTAACAACTTGGGACACTTTACTGAAACCTTCAGGAAATCCAAGTCCCCATTTGCTGGTTTCTGCCTTTGACTGTTTAGTGACATCCTCAACTTGTGCTTCACAAATCTGACTCTTAACTGATCTATATATACACTACACTGGCATCAGACTAAGGTTTGTAGTTTCCCTTTTTTTGCTCCTCAATGTAACTGTATGCACCATTGCAGAATTAGTTTTGGAAGATATTCACTAAGGCATCCATTATCTGTGCAGTTATATTTTTAACCCTCTAGGTTGAGAATTCAACCCTGCAGCTTTAACAGTGAGTGCTATTTTAATTTGTACAATAATATTCTAATGCAAGTCTTGTCAGAAGTAACAAGACACCACATCAGTCAAACAATTTCATTTAAAATCATGAGCTTGATTAAAGGAGCAGTGGTCCAAAGGCTCAATTGCAGACCTGTTGCCGTAAACTTGATGTGTGACTGACTTGGTCCACCCCAGTCAAACTACCTCTACAACTTTCAGTTCCACGTACAAAATCTTTGTCCTTAACTTTCAGGGAGATTCATCTTCCCCTGGAGATGAAGTACTTGTGCATTTCTTTCTTCATTGGAAACTTTGCTGGCTGAAACTGCTTTTCTGTAAACTTTTTTAGGCTGTTTTTGAATTACTGAAGAATGTTGTCACATATCAAACAAGGATTGTGCAGCAGTGATGGCCTCTGTTAAATCACTTGCCAAGCTGAGTTAGCCAAAGATGACAATGTTTTCTTTAATTGAATGTTGCTAGATGGAAGCCCTGTATATTTTTGGCTGCAAAACTGTTTTTCTAAACTTGTCTCTACTTAGACAATAGATGTCAGTGAGCATGTAAAATTATTGTCCAGCAAGGGAATAGACTGTCAAGCTACAGCCAGCCTAAAAGGAACCAGGAAAAATAGGGGAGGTTGAAACAATGCTGTTTCAAGACTCTACTCTCCTCTCCAGCATACTCTTAGCAAATGTTTGAAGTACCAAACAAAATGGATGAACGTAGATCTAGACTTCTCAACAAACTTCCCTACAAACTGACAGCTTCTTATGCTGCATGGACTGCTGTTCCCTCAGGTAAGGCAAAGGATGATGGGGTATAATTCCTATCAATGCTTCTCTGGATCTAGAATACATTAT